GCAGGAATGGATTTGGCCACGTGCAATCTTTCTCTGAGCGTAGGTGCCCAGGATGAAAGGCCAGGGCAGTAAACAGCCGAGTCTCGAACATGCTCATAAACTGCAAAAATAAAACTGTATCGACATTTAATAAATAGAGAACAGCCAGTAAGCAAGCGATAGTGAGGATTCATCACTTTGCCTTTTGTTTGTTATTTGTCAGGCATATTTCTATAAAAGAGGGTACAGATTTGGGATCTATTAGTCTGATTGCTTGTTCCATCCAGCCAAGCCAAACCTTTAAGCTTTGGGAGAACTCGGCTGAGGACAGCCTTTAGGCTTGACAACCAGGACACCTCAACAGGCAGTGCAGGCTGGGAGGTGATCTGTGAACTTTCCGGTTTCTTCCCCGACCCCTCCTTTTTGTCCAAGTCTTTGTCCAAGCAAGATTCCTTGCTCTGCCGGGAATCAGTTCACTCCAGTCTGTCATGCTCGCTCTCTGTGCTTATATCCTTGGGCCTCTGTAGCTGGGAAGAACACAAAAAGTATAATGTCATCTTTATCCACCCATTCTCCAAGTTTGTCTGAGTCAGAGATCTTATCCCTGTGGTCATCTTCCCTCTCACTCCAGCCTCTTGCTGGGAAAAAGGCTGTGCCTCTGCACTGCCACGCAGCTTCTTTTTAGCTCTTACTTCACTCCAGCCTATCAAGAATCCCTTTGTGTTTCATGACAGCGGCTCTGGGTAGCGGAAGGAGGAAAGCAGACGTGCTGCGCCTTAGTAGCTGTGTTTAATAGTCAGCTCGTCCCTGCCACGTTGAAAAGCAAAGAGTAGCCAAGAGTTCAAACGACTTTTAAACAGCACTTCCAATGCCTATGCCAGCTTTTAGCAGTCTTCCCGCCCTTGTTATCCCAAAGTAGTTGCAGGACTGTCTCCACTGTATGCTTTTTCTCCCGCCTGCAAACAGGATGCCACTAGGAGGAGTGCTGCTCTTAAAAGTGGGGGAAAGAGCCCATTTTTGGGCCGTACCTTTTGGGCTGGTAGCTGTGATGAAGCCCTACTGGCAAGCTAGCTGATGAGCACAGAGTATTTCAGCCATGAGGGCTCCTCTGTGCTGGATCTCCAGCACCTCAGTGCCCTTCAGGACACGTTCCCCTGGCTAAAGCGCCCCGGGATTCTGCCTCGCACCCCAGCTCACCTGGCTGCATGCGCACCATGCGGCACAGCCCTTTGCCTGCCTGGTTCTTGTACATGGGCTTCACGCACACTTTGTTAGTGGTGCCTGAAGCCAGGTCTGTGAGGAGCACGCTGTGGATCTGTGGCGAAACGCTGATGACAGATGAAGGGCCAGTTTGCCGCCGGCATCTGACTCTGTAACCAAGGACTTTCCCATCGGCAGAGTCCCAGGAGGCTTTCAGGGTGTTGGGGCCCATGTCTTCAAAGCGGAGGTGCTTCACTTTGTAGCCCTCTAGAGAAAGAAGATGCATGTTACTGTAGGCCATTTGTATGGAGTGGTCCTTACCGCCTAGCTCCTTGTTCCTCCTGAGGGATTGCTGATTGCCAGCCAGCCCGGTCTTTCTCTGTTGTAGACACAACAGCCCATCACTCCACATCTCCACACTGGAGGAGCTCAGCCTAATTAGTCCTTAACTTCGTCCTGCTACCAGCACAAAATACTTTTGTTGGCACTGTTAGGCACCGGCTGGCCACCTCCCATACCCTCAGCTGCTGTCATTCTCTGAGCTCCTCACTCTTGAGTCCTAGTAAGAGCTAGATTTTGCCTCCTACATATCTTTATAGGTACCTCTTCAGAGCTGAAGCTTCTGCTGATGAAATTTCCACCCCTCTTATGCCAGATCACACCAAAGAACAGACACTGAGGAGATAGGAGGGAAAGGCAGTTTTCTTTCTTCTTTAGGGAGATTCAGGGATCTCCAAGAGGGACCTTCAAGTCCATTCTGCTTGTGACTGCACCAGAAGCTTGGCAGTACGCACCCTGTAATAGCAGTCACATTGTGCATGTCTGGTTTTCTTTCAGTCCTATGCCTTATACATCTGCTACATCCTAACAGCATATCAGGTGCTGTTCATCAGAAGCTGCAGCTTTCCCCTTCTCTCATCCCTCCCCCATAACTGGGCTGAGTTTTCTGGCTTCACCTAGAGGCAGATGATCTGTTTAAAGGAACAGGCACACCTCAGAGACTCCTTCTGCCCATATAGTTTCCTATCAGCAGTGCTGCTCACTCACCTTCCTGAGTGCACGCTTTAGCGGACAGGGATCTCTCCTTTCCCGATTTGTAGATTGCAGTCACTGTCACTAGATAGGTTGTATTGGGTGCCAGATTCTCCACCACAGTGCTGTTGTGGTTGCCATCCACCTCCAGCAGCTTCACCGAGTTCCCGGGGAGTGGTCCATACAGGATCTGATAGCTGATCACACTGTCCGGCGTAGGAGCCCAACTAACATGGAAGCTGCGTGGCCCAGACTCTGAGATGACAACTTGAGCTGGGCTTATTTCCTCTGAAAGCAATGTAAAAAGATGTGAATGAGTACGTAATTCAAGGCATAAGAATGCTGTTGGAGGAGCATAATTGACCTGCACCATATTGGGCTTCCAGGAGGTGGAAAAAAATAATCCATCCAGCAAGAGGATGTTGATGGTCATCCAAGTCAGCACAACCCAGCTCAGCCCTAAGAAAATGGTTTCTCTACCTGTGCAGCATAGACTGGGCAAAACTACTCAGACAAAACGACTCTTGCATGCAGAAAAATTAATATCGGATGCAAGTTCATCTTGAACTTTGTCACCCCTGCTCAGATTTTCAGTGTGCCACTTTTTCGCATGTTGCTATCCAGCGTAAATGTGAGTTATTCTTCTGGCCCAGATGACCAGTCTGCACAGAGGGACCGGCTTCTGCTCCCAGTACTCGCCCCTCCTTCCCACTTACACAGGGATTCCCCATCAGTGGACACGCCTGCCTGGAGAAGCAGCATCCACCCGCTTCAAGAGCATTACTCGCCCCATCTGCACCCGCAGCCTCAGGTAGGACAGAGAGATCTCTTTGTTCCCATAGCAGCTGCTCAAGCTGTGAAGGTCAAAATTCCCCTTGGGCAGTAACCCACACAAGGCAGCAGTGCTTCTGCCCGCCTATCATACTGGGATAGCAAGTAAGTACGTGCAGCAGCCCGGGCTTTGTCCCCCGTGGGCCCTACACCTCAGCCCTGTTAAATACTTGCAAGCTTCAGCTCCTGCCGCTGCCTCTCAGGGCAGCAGGCTCTGCTTTCCTCCAGATTCATAGATTTTCAAGGTTGGAAGGTCATCTTATGACCATCAGACCTGATCCCCTGTTTGGGGCAGTCCAGAACATCTTCCCTAAGGAAAGAGCTACCAGCTGAGTGCCAGCATAAAGCAGCTCATTATGTTCTGTCCTGAGCACAACCATCTGCCTCCTCCAATGAGACCACAAGGCCATAGGATGCAGACTAAGGGCTGTCCTGTTTGCTTTATATATGTGAGGCTCAGCACAGCGGAGACTTCCCCCTTGGGCACGATTGTGCACATTTTACCTGCCAGTGTAGTAACCCTTGTTGTCAGGGGAGGGAAGTAGTGGACGTTGGATTCAGGAATGAGTGCCACCTCGTAAGTAGTTTCTGGCGCAAGGTTGCTTAGCACGAGGCTAGTGTGAGCCCCAGACACTTGCTTTGTCCTCTTCCTTGCTAGATCATCTGTTGGAGCATACTCTAGGGTGTAGTAGCCAGTTTCTTGGGAGAGGAGCTTGGGCCACATCAGATGGAAGCTGCTTGAGGTGATATCTACTGCATGGAGCCGATTCGCTTGGATAACATCTGGAAGAGAAACAGCGGCAAGAAATCACGACTGTCATTAATACACAGAATGTGGCACATTTAAAATACAGGCCCTTCTGGATGGGAAATGGAGCCTACAGCAACACTGGATGACAGCTGAAGTCACCTAGGCATAGCCAAGCCCCTTCATAGCAATGCAGTGAACCAGACCCTCTTTGAAAGGTTCAGGAACACAAAACTAAATCCAAAACTAAATCCTTGAAGCCAAGCATAAAGCTAAAAAAATGTAAACCACGTGTCAACTGAAGCAGCAATATTTGGGTTTTTACACCACTCTTACCTCTTGGACAAGACCCTTTCACTGAACAGAGCTTGCAAAGGAAATGCATGTGTCCCAGCTGCCATGAGGTGGCATTTTGGCTAAAGCAATTGCTAAGGTGTGTCTGTGCAACAGGCTTCAGCTCAAGAATACTACTGCGCCTTGCATCTCCAGCCTCAAAACAGTTTGCCACAAGCCTCCAAGTTGCTCTGTAAAGCCCAAGCTTTCCCTTTCCATTCTCTCTGCCTTGTCCTCTGCACTAAGGCCAAACGGTGCTGTGACAGAGAAGCCTGGCACAGCAGGAACCATGCCCCTGCCCATCCAAGCCTGTCTTGCACCACCAAGAATGAATTTGGAGCAGTCCAGCAAGTTCTGGGCAGCTGTTACACCCTGGCAGATGTGTGGGAGTTGCTGTGCCTGGCCGAACAGGCAGCTTCCCACACTCAGCAAGACATTACCACGTAGCCAACATGGCAAGCAGCACTGGCACTGCCCGTGACAAAGCTGGAGACAGAATTTGGGCACCCAGGTTTCGAAGCTCCTGTGGTCGGTTCCTCCCAAGCTCCCTGTGGAAATCACCTGCTAGTGAAACCAAACCACTAAATTTTGTCACGCGTTGAAGCAAGCCAGGGTGTGAAGGAACAGATCTCTCCCTGCTCTCTGCCTGTACCCAGTGGCCAGGAAGAAGGGGCAGCAACTGGGGACCGTCCAGCATTTGCTGAGCCGGCTGCATTCATCCCAGCTGAAGTCACTCCCTGCCGTGTTTCACAGAGCTCCGTTGTTTTGTGACATTCAACATTCAGAGCCGCTCTTGTGCTATCTCGCCTCTCTCTCCCCCTGCACAGAGCCTTCTCTTCACGGCTTGCGCTACCTTTGGGTTCTAGACGCACAAATACCTCTTCTGATGCTCTGCAGTTCCCCAGCATTCTCTGCCGTTTGACCCTTCTGACACACACAGCCTCCTGAGCCCATCTTGGGCAGAATTCCACTGTTCTCTGGTCTTCCAGAGGGGTGGAAACACACAGGACTTTGTTTCTAGCTCCAGGGAAGTGGCATACAAAGATAAAGATGCGCTGCTTTTTTTTTTTTTTTTAAAAAAAAAAGGATTTTTAAAAGCACCCTGAGCCTTGAAGAGGTGTATTTGTTCTGCACAGTGCCACTCCCAAAACCTTACGATAGCACCCTGAAACCTTACGATAGCTCCTGCTCGAGCTTTAATACTTGACAGAGTACTGGAAGTAGCTCTCACTGGCTGCCCATTACACAAAGGTAGAGGGAGGCACAACAGTCTGCCCAGACCTGTAAGAGAATAGGGGGTAGCCTTGCACTCTCGGACTTGTCCTTTAACTGGGAGAAGACCAGCTCTCCTCCTCCAAGCTGCTCCGAGTCCCTGCCAACTTCCCTGTACCAAATAAAGCAGCCTCAGTTTTTCCTCTGAGCTGTTCTTTGGCTCTCCCAGGCAGGCAGGAACATTTCCCTTCTCCATACCCTGCCCACTCCCATCCGCACGCTGCCAGCCAGCAGCATTCCACCCAGTCGGAGCTTGGAGGAGGCAGAGGGTGGGAGGCAGCACCGTGGGGCACGGGGCACTGCACCCTTCTGTGAGCCCCACCACTACCAGTGGCCAAGCCACAAAGGAACAGAGGAAAGGCCTCAGCGCCAAAAGTCCTGCCAAAAGCTCAGGGAATGGAAAGAAGTGAGCACGGAGGCAGGGCCCAGGGACACTGTAATAAATCGAGCAGATTAAAGTGACATGGTGCAACACCTGGGGGACATGCTGCAGGAAGCCCACAGCAAATAGCTCTGCCCCTTGTTCCCAGATTACAGATGCCTTGAGTGCATAAAGAGGGCAATAAGCCCCAGAAAATAGATGCCCATGGTATGCCTCACAGCACCTGTGAAGCAGAGTGTTCCTAGAGGTTCCCCACCTATGTTCCCAGAGGGAAGCAGCAAGTTAATCTCTCGCATTAGACCCAGGCAGCGCCCTCCTAGCAACACTCAGAGACAGCTTGTGACACCCTTGCCTTCCACCTCCTGCCTCTTGGTGACTTGAAACACCGTTTTGCAGTCACAAGTTTGCTG